GTTTCCACTGCAGCATCCGCAATCGAAATGAATCGGATCGGCAGAAATTGGGAGCCAGGTCGGAAGAAGTCGAATCGGCGGAAATTGGCGGGCTAGCAAGGCCTCCACTGAGACACCGAGGCTCAAATCGGAATCCGAGGTCGAATAGAAGGCATCGATCGAAATGAACCGAATCGAGTCGGAGGAGTCGAACTGAGCCCTGGCACGCGAGGTCTGGGAGCGGCAATGCCTGGGCATTCCGCCCTGGCATGATGGCGCCCTGGCATCGGGAAGCTGGGGCAGGCGCTCTCTGGCTCGGGGCATCGATGCGGCGTGCTGGAGGGTGCCGCTGTGGGAACTCCCGGTCGTGGACCTGCACCCAGGAGGCACTCATCGGAGCGCATGGGCCCGAGGACAGCACAGGGGCCCCCCCTTCGCTGTCTTTTGCTCTGGTGCACAGGGGTATCCTCGACAGGCCCGTGGCCACTGGGCCAAGTCTTCGTCGGCGCCCGCAGCGAATCCAAGAAAGTTGCGCAGCAGCGGGTGGCCTCCCTGTCGCACGATGCGAGGCGCAGGCGCGTGGCTGCGCTTCGACTGCAGGCTCCGTCTCTGGATCTTCGGCTGCGGCCGCCACCGCGTGCCCGTGCGAAGAGGCGATGCCAGCACAGCGCTCCGCAGCATGGCTCTGCGAGAGGGGGGCCCGCCAGCTTGGGTACCACACCAGTCGGGTGCACACGTGCATTACGGCTAAACCGAAGCAAGCGCACCTGGTACAATCCACGCTTGCATCGCGAAGAACGCACCCCTTGCGACTGGGTGTGCGTGCAACCGTCCCCGCTTGCGCCGCTCCCTGCTTCATCTTGGCCCTGGGCCGGGATGAAGCAGGGCGCTGCGTGCGGAGCGGCACCGCGCAGCCTGGCACTCCACGTCCGACCCTGCAGCGCGGAGGCAGCGAGCAGCGAGCAGCGAGGCGTGGCTCCTCGGGGCTCGTCGGCGGAGCCGAGTGGCTGCGGCGTCGGCTGCCTCTGCTCCCGCTGCGGCCCGCGCTGCTTACCCCCTGCCCCCTTCCCCCCCGCCCCGCCCAGCCACTGGCCCCGCTCCAGGCCGGACGTGTCCCCCTACAGGCGGACTTGTTGCACGACAAATCACAAAACAGAGTCAAAACATATTCAAGCCTGGTGACAAGATATTCGAGACGATCGTCCCCGGACTATGCTGTGACTGTGCTTGAAGACTCCTCCCCGCAGAGGGCCATGCCCGACTCAATCCTCTAGGGCCCCCCGAGAGGTTGCATAGGATCGCCTGCACGCAGGAGTGACCCTGGGCTCTAGAGCGACCTTTGGTGCGCGGCCTCGGGGGCGCCCGTGGGGGCCCAACGCAATCGCGCAAGCCAGCATTGCCGCGCTGCATCAACGATCGTCGGGGCGCCACTCGAAATATGTGCCAGCGGGCAACCGCGGAATTCCGCTGATTGAATTCGAGCGCCTCGAATGGCACTTTGAAGGCGCTGCGAAAGCAGACGGCCTTCTGGAGGCCGGGCGGAATGCAGCGGGCGATCGCACGGTCTCCTGAGAGCGGCGCGAGCACGGCCGTGGACGGCGTCGGGCAGGTACCCGAAATGGGGGTGGCACGATGTTGCTCCCATCGAATTTAACGGCCACATCCCAGAAATACCGAAAAGTGTCGAAACAGTTCGGAAACACAGAAAAGTATCGAAAGAGTGTCGAATGAGTATCGCCTCCCAGGGCCCGACAGGTGAAAATCCTTAAGTTTCGATGCTTTCCTGGTGCTCGAAATTCCTCTCTGGTGATCCAGGCTAAAGTAGGTTGGAACATCATAGGGCTGGCAGGTTCCAGAGCCATGGCAATACACAGTTGGCGATCGGCTTCGCTCACCTCGCAAGTAGTACGGGCAAAATGTGTGTTGTGTGCGGCCGGAGGACAAAACATTGCGTGCGCCGTCGTCCTATCGCTTCGGCTGCCCTCCCGAATTCCTGTACCACTCCTGCGGAAGATGGAGGCTTGGTTATCAAAGGGTAGCAGTTTGCAATTGCTTCGCGACTTTCGCGGCGTCTATTCAGACGATTTCCCGATGGTTCGCGATTTAATTTTTCAATTCTGCGTTTGTGCTGAGATTTTCTGGTCGTGAGGCGTGCGCCTGATGCCTTCAACCCACGGTCACGATCCGATGTATTCCTGTGCGACATTGCTGTCGTTGCCAAGTCTGTCGGCCGCTTCGTCGCCGGTTTCTGCGATGAGGTAAGCAATTGGCGGTCAATTGGAGTTGGCTTCTCCATGCGGACCTTCCTCGCTCGGAGCCCTGACTTATCCGTCGCTTGTGCCGTGGGCTGTTGTTAGTTCTGGGTGACGGTTTCGTGCTGGTGGTGCAGAGCCGTCTTGGGGTGCCTGCGACCATTCGTAACATGCGTCGTCGGGTGCATCGTAGTTGTCGTAGAGGCTCAATCAGAGTTCGAGTTGCCACCAGCACAGTGCCTTGCCGGCAGCCACGAGAGCACGAACATCCTGCCGCTTGCCGTGCTCGGCCTCAGCGAAGGCCAGAGCCGCGGCGCATTCCCTCCCCTTTGGCTCGACCAATTTGGCCTTGCAGTTGACCCCAGGCTGCAGCACTCTGTCAGGGCGGCATCAGTGACCGGCCCGCCGCGCGACGAATCGGAAGACGAAGCTAAGGCCGGGACAGAATCGGACCGGGCCAGATAGGGTGTCTCTGAGATCCGGCGGCTCTGGAGGAGCTATCGGGCTCCCCAGCCGTTCCACAGCGATCGGGGACGCTCTGAGAGCATTCAGAACGCGGCGGAACAGTGGCTCCTGGTCGTTCTGAAATCCGGCGGCTCTGGAGGAGCTATCGGGCTCCCCGGCCGTCCCACAGCGATCGGGGACGCTCGGAGAGCACTCCGAACGCGGCGGAAGAGTGGCTCCTGGTCGCAGCACCGCCCGAAATCGTTCTGGAGGAGCTATCGGGCTCCCCGGCCGTCCCACAGCGATCGGGGACGCTCGGAGAGCACTCCGAACGCGGCGGGACAATGGCTCCTGGTCGTGGCACCGCCCGGAATCGCTCCCTTGGGAGCACGGTCGGCGGTGGCCAGGTGCCGATCCTCCTGACGACCTACCAGGCCACCCCCAACCCAACCCGAAGACCCGAATTTCGGGTTGGGGGGGGGGGGGCTATAGGGCTCCACACGTGTTTTTTTTTCCAGGTTTCCCGACCCCCCCCCCCCCACACTGGAAATCGAGGGCAAATCTGAGCCTTCGGGTTGGGTTGGGGTGGTTTGGTGGGCGTCGAGCCTTCGGCGAAGCGGCGAAGCTCGCCCAGACGGGCTGCCGCGCATGGCAGCCGGCAGCGGCGGGCAGACCCTCGTCCGACACCTGCTGCGCCTCGGCCCCGCCTGCGCCTCGGGCACCGCCAAGGGGCTCGAGGTAAGCCGGCACAGTCGGGGCGTTGACCCGAGGAACCCTCCTCCTCCTCCCTCCTCCTCCCTCCTCCTCCCTCCTCCTCCCTCCTGCTCCCTCCTCCTCCTCCTCCTCCTCCTCCTCTTCATCATCCTCCTCCGCCTCCGCCTCCGCCTCCGCCCCTTTTTCCCATAGGTTCAACCTCGATTGCCCATGGAAAACCTCAGGAAAACCCGAGGCAAACTTCGGAACAATCAAGGAACACCGAGCCCCTCCCCAACGAAAAGGGTTCCTTCTGCAGCGCCCCGACTGTAGGCCCCGCCTGTACTTGCGGCCTCCGATTCCGACGATCACCCCTCCCAACCACATCGGATGTTTGATGGGCGCCATCTCCAGCCTCGCGCTGTGCAAAGTGGGTAAGAAGTGACGTCGCTTCGCGCGTGGCCAGTAAGCTCCTGGGCTTTGCTTTTGGCACGTCCTGCGTAGCCCGAGCGGAGTTCCTGTGTCCGAGTCGCAATCCAAGCGGCGTTTCTTAAACTGGGCGGCCGTGGAGCATCCTGCGCAATGGAAGAACAACAGATGAAAGAAAACAAGCAGAGCCCCCACGGCAACGTCCGGCCGCCTGCTCCAGGCGGCACTCGGACGAGTTGCCCCCAAGGCCGTCGTCACACCTCGGACCGCCGAGGCAGAGGGAGGGATGCCACACGGGAAGTGGATGAGGAGTGGTGCAGGGAGAGAGGGGAGGCGAGCTAGGTGCGCTCGCGCCATATCTGACATCCGAACCCTCCTTTTCCTTCTCCTCCTCCTCCTCCTAATTCCCCCTTCTTCTTCCTCCTCCTCCTCCTTCTCCTCCTCCTCCTCCTCCTCCTCCTCCTCCTTCTCCTCCCACACCGTCCCATTGCGCTGTTTCTCTTCAATGTCCGCCGACAGGTGCCATAGCAGACTGGACCCCCCAACATGACCCCATGGTGCCATGAGGAATCGCAAAGGGAGAGCTGCGTCCAGAGGGGACGGATGAACGCAGGAAGAGGAGGATGAGGAAACAGGGCAACGATGAGGAACAGCACCAGCAGGAGCAGGAGTGGGAGAAGCAGGAAGTGCAGGATTACTAGGGGAAGGCGGGGGAGAGGAAAGGAGCGAGGGCGACAGCAATGAGGAAGAATTCGGATCCGAAAGGGCGGCCCTCGATGGGGCGAAAGCGTCGTCCTGAACGATGGCAGCAGAGTGCTGATCCTAAAGTGAGGCCAGCGCTGCAGCGAGAGCACCAAACACCGAGAATTGCTGGATTGGAAAAGCATGTGATGGACCAACTTTTGAAATCCTGCGCATACAAGAACAAGACGCGGATGGGGGCTGGCAAGCCACTCCCCGGCCATCGTCGAGGGGAGGGGGGAGAGCCGTATTCATATCGAGCAGGTGTAGAACAGGATAAAGGGTTGAGGGGGGAGAGAAGGCATCGAAATGCGAAGTCGTGCGGTATAGCTGACAGGGAAAACCTTGGTATGAAGGCGCGACTGGACATAACATCGAAGGCATCGTGGCAACCATCGGGTCAACAACACTAGTAACGATACTATCGAATGCCATGCTCCTTTGTGTGCAAGCGATCCGTCCGCGAAGAACTGTTCATCTTCTACGTGACCAATACGGATGTGAATCGGCATCGAGCCAGTCCCAACGGTCCACAAAACGCCCAACCGGCAGGTCGAAAAACTCAGAACGAACTGTGATAGTGAACAGCGCCCTCATCGCAACCATGTTCAAACAGGACGGAGGCATAAACTTTCCACTCATCGCCTGCGTGGGGTTGCGTTCTTGTCAGACCCTTAAAGTTCCCGTGAAGCAATCCTATTGTCTTCGCGCCACTTCCTCTTTGAATGTCCTGTATTCTGACGGTGCTGCTCCCAAATAATTCTTCTCGGGATATTCCAACATCCCGATTGCACTATTACGGCCTACCTAGAATGTCTACGACATGCCCGCTGTAGTCTTGCGGTGGCCAAAATTACGGCTGATCTTTTCTGATCAGATCCGGTAAACCGCTTTTGTGTGGGCGAACAGGAACGTCAACATCGTGCGGCAGCAGCCTTGTGGAAAACGTATGGGCGAAATGGATACCTAACATTCGTGCGACAAGATTGTGTGGTGAGGGTCCGTGATAATTGGCGACAACTAAATCAGTAACCTTTCGGCTGTCTCACGAGGAATCAATCGGCGTCCTGAGGCCCAAGGACATGAATCGAATGCCCGAAACCCGCAGGCCTCCTGAAAAGACCAATCGGATTCTCGGGGATGCTCAGGACTCATGAATAAATTATTTTGACACTTTTGGGGACCATTCGACTTCGCGCAAGGAGACACAAGACTCATCTGGAAATCCTGGCGGTTACGGACGGGAGAAATCTGCAGAATTCCAGAAGGAGTCCGTTGAATTCCACCAGGGGAATTGGCATCGGAATTGGGCATCCTTGGAAATCCCGCGGGAGCCAACATGAAACGCTTGTGGAAGTTCTTTCGGGCTCTTCTAAGGCTCCGTCGTTCTCCTCCCGTCCTCGTAATCGAAACAATGAAAATCTTGTTTGGGGACTTTCTGATCATCGGCGGGCTGGGTCCAGCAAGCGGTCGACGAACGGCGGGGCGCGACGGAAACGACTCACGCACAGAGGCGTGTCTTGACACACACCAAGGTCTCAACATACATTGCCGTCGGGGCTTCGCTGGGTGGACGCGCTGCTGCGCCCCGCCACTTGCAGCACCGCTTCTGTACTGGTCTGTCTCCGGTGGGACCCCTCCCCACCAAACCCTCTAGGGAGGCTACAGCTGGCACCACTGTCCATTCCCTGCAGCCGGCGCAGGGCCACTCCTGCTGCATTTGCCGCCTGGGATGCCGCCACCTCCCAGCCCCGCTGTACGGGGACATCTTCGGTTTGGCTCTGCACTTCCCGTCGCTGTACGTCCTCTTCAAACGCTGCAGCCCTGCCCCAACTCCTGGGTGTGGCCGCGTCGCCGCTCCGCGCCCGCTGCCAGGGGAGCAGCACCGGCTGGCCGCCCCGGCCGCTCCGCGAAGCGTGCGTGAAGCATTGGTCCCGTCCGCTGTTTGGTTAGTAATTTCGCTCAGGACATCCGCAAGAATGTGACAACTGGACGCACCACTCACGCAGATCTCGACGTCACGGTCCAAACTCAGATGGGATTCCTTAGTATTGTAAACTAACATAAACAACTTCAAAAGCATAATGGCTTTCAATGGTGCTGAGCATCAGCTTTCTAACATTGCAGTTGAACATGCGACAATTTCCTACAATCGAGCCATTTTTGAAACCCATTCATGGAAAAGGCGAGTTCGCCTGAGACATCCTTCCAACATCGAGCCCTGACGTACAACAAACATGATACACACAGAACGCACACTTCACACACAACAAACACAAACCACGCGCACACACAACACACACGACACACCGACCACACATACCACGCAGAACGCACATACGGCACAAATAGCGCACACAACAAACAACACACCTACACACTGACAAAACTCACACCTAACACAGGCACGCACATATTACACACCACACACACACATATCCTGCACGTGTTTGTGTGAGCTTTCGTGCGCACGTGCCACTTGTGTACATATATATATATATATATATATATATATAAATGTAGATGTATATGTGCAAGTACATGTGTACATGTATATATATACACACATATTTATACATAGAGATATTGCTATGAGAAGGAGGAAGAGGGAACGCCATTACAAAACTTCACCCGACCCGGCCTCGAAGGTTGCGCGAATCAACACAAGTCGCCAAGCAAACCGGACACACCATACAAGCCGGCCTGAGATAAGCAAACACCTGCACTGGACCGCGGCCTGAGGGATGAACGAGCGTGCCGCGCCAGGAACGGGAGAGGAAAGAGTGGGGAGGAGAGAGCGCCAGCGAGGCAAGGAGGGACAAAGAAAAGGGATGCCTAATGCGGCCGAGCGGCTGCTGGCACTGGACAAGAGCTGCACAGGCACAGCTGAGCACGCACGGAGGGGGAAACAGCAACAGCTTCACAAGCCGCTCCGGCAGGGCGGGCAGGGCAGGGCGGAAGCAGAGGCTCGCCACGGCCACACACCTCAGCCACACGGTGGGGCGCAGCGAACCCATTTGCGAAGGAGAGAAGGAAGGAGGAAGAAGCAGAGGAGAGGGAGGAGGATAGCAGGGAACGAGGTCAAACTCTGGTGTTCCAAGCGGTGGTTATGCATGTATATGTATATATATATATATGTATATATACATACATATGAATGTATACATGAGCATATATGGCGGATTCCGGAAACCCAGACTCCGAAAACGTTTTCATCTCTTGGGGACGCACATTTAAAACTTCCGCTACCTTCCGCCGCCCTTTCGCCGGCTTCCGCCGGAGGAGGCGGCCTCGTTTTACTTCCGCCGCCTTCTGCCGACCTTCCGCCGACTTCCGCCGCGAAAGAGACGACAACTACTTCGGTCCTCGAAAGCAAGGCGCTTTACTGAACGCCCCATATGTGACATGATCCCAGGTCGAGGGTTCACAGCCCCCCCAGATGGGACGGGTCCAAGGGTTCCACAGGCCCCCCCCAGATAGAGCAGGGGACGGGGGGCGACGACGCCAACGCCGACGCCGACGCCGACGCAGGCGACGATGACGCCGACGACGACGACGACCACGACGCCGACAACGACGCCGACAACGATGCCGACGGACGACGGATGACGCCGACTACGACGCCGACAACGACGACGATACCGACGCCGACGACGCCAACGCCGACGCCGACGCCGACGTCGACGGGCGACGACGACGACGACGAAGACGACGACGCCGACGACGACGACGACGACGACGACGACGACGACGACGACAGCGACGACGACGACGACGAACCACCCCACACCCACAGAGGGGGGGGGCACGGGTGCCCTCCACCACGCCACGCCCACAGAGCCACGCCAACAAGTGGGGGGGAGGAACCCATGCGCGAGGCCTTCGCGAGGCTCACGGGCGTACCGACCTAGCGTGGGCGGGGGCTCGATTCCAACCCTGGATCATATGATGCTGGGTCGAGGGTTCACAGCGCCCCCACCCAGAAGGGATGAGCCCGCGGGTACCACAGCTCCCCCCCTTTCCAGATGGGATGGGGGACGAACGGTGACGCCGACGCCGGCGACGACGCCGATGCCGACGACGACGCCGACGACGACGCCGACGCCGACGACTACGATGCCGACGCCGACGCCGACGCCGACGACGCCGACGCGGACGCCGACGCCGACGGACGACGACGACGACGACGACGCCGACGAACCACCCCACACCCACAGGTGGGGGTGGCACGGGCGCCCTCCACCACGCCACGCCCACACGGCCACGACTACATGGGGCGGGGCAGCAATGGGGGGGATGGATCCCATCTGCATTTCGGGGGCAACCCTGGACACCCAGGATCATGCATGTATGTGTGGGTGTCGTAGCTCGGGCAGTCCCGACCAAATAGAAACTGCGAATGGCTATTCACAATCCGTCCCGTGTGATTCCCCAGCGCGGCATCCTTACTTAACTGTTTGGTCGTGGCACGCTGATGGCCACGTAGCGCGTGCGAAGGTGATTCAGGGTGTTTGCTTCGCGACCCGTGCGTGTGGACGACATACATGCGTGCTGTAATGGCGTTGGAAGGTGTATGGTATGTACGCTCGTTGCGTCGACTCTGCTTGTTATTGGCGCAAATGGCATGTGCATGATATTAACGTGCGTCGTGCGAACTTTGGTGAAATGTATGTGAGATGGTGCTCTGCCGTACATGTATGCTGCGGGTGTGGGTTGTGCATGCGTGAACATCACATATGCTATTGGTGTCTCGAACTGGGCCATATTCCCAAAGCGTGTGTGTTGTTCCTGAGGCATGCTAATGGTGACACGCGCAGGTGTCTGCCACTGGCGTATCCTACTAATGCATGTTATTGGTTCGCAGTCTTGGTGTACAGTGCTGATGTGTGTCATTGTGTATGCTATGGGAGCCTGTTCTGGTACGTGGAATGCATAGATACACGTTGCTGCTGCGTGTTAGTGGCATGGTGCTGCTCTCGTGCGCGATGGTGTAAAGTATTGACGCTTGGCACTGGTTGCTATTATCGGAGTCTGCTCCTGGTGTAAATCATGAATGTGTGTGATTGTTGTGCTCTTGTCGGTGCTTTGGAATCGCAGCTTACGTGAATTCGCCGGCCCAACGGGCCAGAGGCGTGCTAAGGTCTCTGGTAACTGGTTAACAGTATCTCTAGTTCGCGCGCGCGGGGCGGCCCCTGGGGGTCCCCGGACGAAAAGTACCCCGGGCGATCCCCGACCGACCCCCGAGCGATCCCCGGGAGACTCCCCCAGAGCGCTCCAGGAGCGCACCAACAGGGCTCCGAGACGTCCCCGAAACCCTCAAGACGGGTCCAGATGCCCCCAAGAGGCTCCCAAGATGGTACACAAGGGTTCCGAGATGCCACATGATCGCTCCAAGACGCCCAAGATGGCCCCCAGACGCCCCAAGAGGCCTCCAAGAGCACTCCCAAAAGGGCCCCAAGAAGCAAAATTCATAGCTTTTCCTTAGGTTTTTGAGAGATTTTGGAGCTTCCACCTTTTCGGCTTCCCGACGCCCCAAGACGGCCCAAGAGGCCCCCAAGATCGCCCCAAGAGGGCCCAAGAGGCCCCCAAGAGGGCCCCAAGATGGCCCAAGAGGGCTCGAAGACGGCCCAAGAAGCCTCCAAGACGGTCCAAGAGGGCCCCAAGAACGCCCCCAAGGGGGCCCCAGAGAGGGAACACGAAACAACATTTCGAGCCCTCGGCCCTAAGAAGCCCCCACGAGGCCCCAAGAGGCCCCTAAGAGGCCCCAAGAGGCCCCCACGAGGCCCTCAGGAGGCCCCCAAGAGTCCCCCAAGCGGCCCCAGGAGGCCCCCCAAATGCCCCCCCGAGCGCCCCAGGAGTCCCCCAAGCGGCCCCAGGAACCCCCAAAGCGCCGCATTGACACCAGGCCCTCGGGCAAACGGCAGACATGAGACTGTATGGGCCGGCGGAATGAGCGAAGCGATTAATATTTCTATCTCATGTATGCTAGTCCCACGGGCCCTGTGGGCCAAGGTGGCCCATCGATGTCTTCTTCCCTCTTCCAAACACCCTTCCCTTTCGGGAGCGGTACCCTCCCCCCTCCCATGACTGAGGTTTGTTATGGAAGTTCCGCGCAGGGTTAGGGCGTTCAAGATGACCCAACATTGCTCCAAGAGGGCCTCCGATGCTTCCAGATGGCCTCCAACGCGGCTCAAGATAGCCGAAGATGGTTCAAGATAACTTTCGACACTCTCCCAAGAGGCCCAACGAGGGCCACAACACGGTTCCAAGTGTCCTGAGGACACCCCCCCAAAAAATGTCCAAATCCATCAAAAACACACGGAACATCAATTATGGTCGCCGTCTCGCCTGTTCGCTTCCGATGCGCTTTTGCTGCCGCAAGCTGGCCCCAAGATGGCGCAACAGAGAGCCAAGAGGGCCCCCAAGGCGGCCCCAAGAGCGCCCCAGAGCTGCCCAAGAGCGCCCCAATAGGGCCCCAAAGGGCGCTTGTGATGGCCTCATGGGGGGATGTAGCTTTAGGACCCACCCTCCTTCGATCGATAGCCGCCAAGATGGCCCCAAGACGCCCTCCAGGGCTCCCAGGGGGGCCCCAACACGGTCGCAGCACGAACCCCAGAGTGCCCAAGAGCGCCCAAAGAGTTTCCCACGAGGGCCCCAAGAGGAGGTTGCCTCCTCCTCCTCTTCCTCCTCCTCCTCCTCCATTCCTTCTCCTTAAAGGGAACTCCTCCCTGTCGCACCCCGAGGCCAGTTTTTAGGGCGGGCCGGGCGTTTCGCCCGAGACTTCCCCACCATTTGACTCTGAAGCTCAAAAAGTGGCAACAGCTTCGGAGGGCGGGCGGTTTTCAAAATGCAGCTCTCGCCCTAGCGCCGCGCACATTCGTTTCAAAATTTGCAAGAGCTTCACGGATTGAGGGCGGTTCCTTTTAAAGATGTGGATCTCGCCTTAGCGCCGCGCACATTTGTTTTACAAATTTGCAAGGGCTTCATGGATTGAGGGCGGTTCCTTTTAAAAATGTGGCCCTCGCCTTAGCGCCGCGCACGCTCGTTTTTTTTTTTTTTTTTTTTTTTTTTTTTTTTTTTTTTTTTTTTTTTTTTTTTTCTTTTTTTCTTAAAAAAAAAAATATGATAGAGTTTAACGGGTTGAAAGCGGTTCCTTTTAAAAATGTGGCTCTCGACTTAGCGCCGCGCACATTCGGATTGAGGGCGGTTCCTTTTCAAAATGTGGCTCTCGCCATAGGGCCGCGCACAATCGTTTTTTTACACAAATTATCCCGGCAAAGCAACCTAACAGCGATGTGTAGAAGCATATCTGAAAGCATTCCCCTTAAGATTCAGATGAAAATCCAGTTGTCGAATTCTGCTGTTCTCGCAGTCGTAGTCGCATTCGCGATGACAGTCGCAGCGGCAACGGCAGTCGCAGTCACAGCCTCAGCCTCAGCCTGCCTCCTCCTCCTCCTCCTCTTTCTCCTGCTCCTCCTCCTCCTCCTCCTCCTCTCTCTCCTCCTGCTCGTCCTCGTTCTCGTCCTCCTCGTCTTGTTCTCTCCTCCTCCTCTCTGGTGCTCCTCTCCTCCTCGCCTCCTCCTCCTCCTCCTCCTCTCTCCTGTGGTGGTCCTCGTCTCCTCCTCCTGGTGCTCTCCCCCCCCCTCCTCCTCCTCCTCGTCCTCTCTCCTCCTCCTCCTCGTCCCTCCTCCTCCTCTCCTCGTCTCCTCCTCCTCCCATCCTCCTCCTCCTCCTCCTCCTGGTAGTCCTCCCCCTTCCCCCTCCTCCTCCTCCTCCTCCTCCCTCGCTCCTCGTTCTCGTCCTCCTCGTCTTGCTCGTCCTCCTCCTCCTGGTTCTCTCCTCCTCCTCCTCCTCCTCCTCCTCCTCCTGGTGGTCCTCGTTCTCCTCCTCCTGGTACTCTCCCCCCCCCTCCTCCTCCTCCTCCTCGTCCTCGTCCTCCTCCTCCTCCTCCTCCTCTTCCTCCTCCTCCTCCTCCTCCTCCTCCTCCTCCTCCTCCTCCTCCTGGTACTCCTCCCCCTCCCCTCCTCCTCCTCCTCCTCCTCTTCCTGGTCGTCCTCCTCCTCCTGGTCGTCCTCCTCCTCCTGCTCGTCCTCCTCCTCCTCCTGCTCGTCCTTCTTCTCCTGCTCCTCCTGCTCCTCGTCCTGCTCCTGCTCGTCCTCGTCCTCCTGGTCTTGCTCGTCCTCCTCCTCGTCGTGCTCTTGCCCCTGCTGAAAATGTGGCCCAGGAATGGGAGTTCTGGGAAGTCGAAGAAGAGCACGAAGTGGCCTACAGTTGGCTCCGGGCATTCAAAATGTGGCCCGGGAATGGAGTTCTGGGAACTCGAAGAGCACGAAGTGGCCTACAGTTGGCTCCGGGCATTCAAAATGTGGCCCGGGAATGGAGTTCTGGGAACTCGAAGAGCACGAAGTGGCCTACAGTTGGCTCCGGGCATCCAAAATGTGGCCCGGGAATGGAGTTCTGGGAAGTCGAAGAGCACGAAGTGGCCTACAGTTGGCTCCGGGCATCCAAAATGTGGCCCGGGAATGGAGTTCTGGGAACTCGAAGAGCACGAAGTGTGTGACTGTTGCATCCGGTTATTCTAAATGTGGCCCGGGAATGGCGTTCTGGGATCTCGAAGAGCACGAAGTGTGTGACTGTTGCATCCGGGTATTGAGAATGTGGCCTGGGAATGGAGTTCTGGGAAGTCGAAGAGCACGAAGTGTGTGACTGTTGGTGAAAAACGAACCCGGCACCAGCCTGCCCCGGCAACTCCCAACACCTGCCCGGCCTCCCCCTGTGGCAGTGATCTGCTGCTCTCCATTGACCCCACTAGAAACCCTATCAGTCTTCGGCTGTAGGTAAGAATTATCCCGGCAAAGCAACCTAACAGCGATGTGTAGAAGCATATCTGAAAGCATTCTCCTTAAGATTCAGATGAAAATCCAGTTGTCGAATTCTGCTGTTCTCGCAGTCGTAGTCGCATTCGCGATGACAGTCGCAGCGGCAACGGCAGTCGCAGTCACAGCCTCAGCCTCAGCCTGCCTCCTCCTCTCCTCCTCTTTCTCCTGCTCCTCCTCCTCCTCCTCCTCCTCCTCCTCCTCCTCCTCCTCCTCCTCCTCTTCCTCCTGCTCGTCCTCGTTCTCGTCCTCCTCGTCTTGCTCGTCCTCCTCCTCCTGGTGCTCTCTCCTCCTCCTCCTCCTCCTCCTCCTCCTCCTCCTCCTCCTCCTCCTGGAGGTCCTCGTTCTCCTCCTCCTGGTGCTCTCCCCCCCCCTCCTCCTCCTCGTCCTCCTCCTCCTCCTCCTCCTCCTCGTCCTCCTCCTCCTCTTCCTCCTCCTCCTCCTCCTCCTCCTCCTACCCTCCTCCCCTCCTGTAGTGCCTCCCCCTCCCCTCCTATGAATCCTCCTCCTCCTCCTCCTCTCCTTCCTGTCGTCTCTCGTCTTCGGTCCTCCTCGTCTTGCTCGTCTCCTCCTCCTGTTGTTCTCATCGTGCGCTCCAATCCCTCCTCCTCCTCCTCCTCCTCCTCCTCCTCCTGTGTCCCTTCGTTCTCCTCCTCCGGGTGCTCTCCCCTCCGCCCCCCTCCTCCGTCCTCCTCCTCCGTCCTCCTCCTTCCCTCCAATCCTCCTCGTTCTTAGCTCTTCCTCCTCCTCCTCCTCCTCCTCCTCCTCCTCCTCCTCCTGGTACTCCTCCCCCTCCCCTCCTCCTCCTCCTCCTCCTCTTCCTGGTCGTCCTCCTCCTCCTGGTCGTCCTCCTCCTCCTGCTCGTCCTCCTCCTCCTCCTGCTTGTCCTTCTTCTCCTGCTCCTCCTGCTCCTCGTCCTGCTCCTGCTCGTCCTCGTCCTCCTGGTCTTGCTCGTCCTCCTCCTCGTCGTGCTCTTGCCCCTGCTGGAAATGTGGCCCAGGAATGGGAGTTCTGGGAAGTCGAAGAGCACGAAGTTGCCTACAGTTGGCTACGGGCATTCAAAATGTGGCCCGGGAATGGAGTTCTGGGAACTCGAAGAGCACGAAGTGGCCTACAGTTGGCTCCGGGCATTCAAAATGTGGCCCGGGAATGGAGTTCTGGGAACTCGAAGAGCACGAAGTGGCCTACAGTTGGCTCCGGGCATTCAAAATGTGGCCCGGGAATGGAGTTGGCTGTTGGATCCAAATGTGGCCCGGGAATGGAGTTCTGGGACACGAAGTGGCCTACAGTTGGCTCCGGGCATCCAAAATGTGGCCCGGGAATGGAGTTCTGGGAACTCGAAGAGCACGATGTGTGTGACTGTTGCATCCGGCCCTCCAGAATGTGGCCCGGGAATGGCGTTCTGGGATGTCGAAGAGCACGAAGTGTGTGACTGTTGCATCCGGTTATTCTAGAATGTGGCCTGGGAATGGAGTTCTGGGAAGTCGAAGAGCACGAAGTGTGTGACTGTTGGTGAAAAACGAGCCCGGCACCCTGCCGCCCGGCAACTCCCCAACACCTGCCCGGACCCCCCTGTGGAGTGATCTGTGAGCTCTTTTGAGACCACTAGAAACCTATCAGTCTTCGCTGTTAGGTAAAATGCAAGAGTTTCACGGAGTCGCACGATCGGCGTGCCAACAATGGCGTTCTGGAAGGGTTCTGGATTATGTGGGCGCAGCAGTTATGTTGCTTCGCTGTGTTGAAGTCCCAAACATGGTGTTCTGGAGCGATTCTGGATCGTCAACACGCAGCAATCAGGCTGATACGTGGCGTTGCAATCCCGAGAACAACGTTTTGGCACGCTTCAGGATCTTCAAACTGTTGTCTTCCAACAAAGGATTTCCCTCGATGGAAATGAATCGTTGCAGGGGCCTAAGAAGAGGGAGCTTGGAGGGAGGGTTAACTCCAACATCGTTGATGACTCTTTGGTTTCCACTGGCCCCTCCCGCGGGCCCTGGGGATGGCCCGAAGAGGCCCTCCAAGGCCACTCCCTTGCTCCCAGAAGCTCTCTGTTCATCCTGGTTGCCGGCTTTGTTTCACTATGTGTGTTTCTCCGTTCCTTCTCCAATCAGCTCTCATGGACAAATTTCTGAATGGGCTGGTGGGGATACACGAAGCGTGAAGAATTTGCTCGATACGCATGGCCTCGCTGGAGGGCGAGGAAGTGTACCACGAATGTTAAAGACTACTGGGGCCTGGCGGCCACGGTATGCAGGGCTGGCAAGCGGGCTTTCTTTGAAAATGCCAACTTGGCCCAATCCTGGCGGGTGGGAGAAGAACGCGACGCAGCAATCATTGGAACGTTATGGATGCACCATGCTACAACACCGTAGAGTCGCTTCTTAATCGGCCCCAAAACGACGGTTCTACCAAGCCTGTTCAGAGACCGCGGTAGAACACACGCTGCATGCATTTTGATGGGGCGCTGGCACAGTGGCGGGGTTTGCCGCAGGCAACGGAGGATGGATAGTACCATCGAAACCATGTGTTCCAATTGTCTGAACTAACTGGACCTGTGTTCCTCAACTGCTGGGGTCTGCCAAGGCTGTCCTATGTCGCTGTCGCGCTTGTTGTGGAGGAGAAGGAGGACAGGATAGAGTAGAACGGCGCGCAAGACAGGTCTTCGGTGGAAGGGCCAAGCCCGCTGATCTCCAACAAAAACCTTGGGGGTGCTCCCTCAGAATTTGTCAGCACCACCAGGGGGGACGATATCCCTCAGCAGTGCCCGCGACATCAGCACCTCGCCAATGATTATAGCTTGTGCCCGAGCGGGCTCCCCGCAAAAGGGGTCACCGCGCGATCCCTCGATACGGCAGGGGCAGTCCTGCTCGTGGAAGCCCCGCTCAGCGTGGAGGAGACGAAAGGGAGAGGAAGCTCCGGCACGATCGCGGAAAGAGCAGGAGAGGACGTGGGCCCAGCGGGCTGGGCACACGAGCACCGCTCCAGAAGAAGAGAAGGTGAAACGGCATAAACAGAAACCGTCGGAGCTCCGCGCGCGTGTCTTGAATCGGCGCTGGGACCCCCCCCCCCGTCCTTCCCGATGCCCCTCCGCGCGCCGGGGGCGGCGCCCTGGAGGGGCCGTCAGGGGAGCCCGGAGAGCAAATCCACGATCTCCGCGCGGAGCTCCAACGTATCAGATCGATGCCGTGCTTCTTCACACACCATCGCTCGGACGAACATGCGCCGTGCATTGTCGATGTCGCGCGTGTTTTTGTTGCTGGACTTTCGGCCGCTTCATCTGCCCTGTCCCCTCCTCCTGCATGGTGGCACAATTCGCTGCAACGGCACCCCCGTTTAGGTAGCGCTTCGCCAGCGCATTTGCTCTGCCTAGCCGCCGACACAACATATTTTGTTGCTCGATGATCCAGGATGTGACTACCTACCAGACCGCCCCAACCTAACCCGAAGACCCAAGTTGCGGACTGGGGTGGGTACGGACTCCATGTAATGTGTTTCCCAACCATTATGTGGTGTTGGGTCCTCGTTTTGAAGAGACGGCGCCCCGCGTTCTCCTCATCCAGCCTCCTTCCTCCTCTTTCCTCCTCCACCTTCTCCCTCCTCGCCCTCCTCACTGAGTTTCATCCACCCAGTACAGCGTTGCGTGGCCCCATAGGGAGCTCAACCGAGGGCCCCAGCGCCACCGCCCGCATGCGCCCCCAACACCCATTCAGGCACACCCCTCACACGGTTCGTGGTCCTATAGTCAGCTCCAACGAAGGCCCCAGTGCCACCGCCCGCACGCGTCACCCACACCTATTTCGGCACACCACTCACACGTTTCGTGGCCCCATGGGGAGCTCCACCGAAGGCCGCAGTGCCACCGCCCGCATGCGTCACCCACACCTATTTAGGCACACCCGTCACACGTTTCGTGGCCCAAATAGTGAGCTCCACCGAAAGCCCCAGCAACACAGCCCGCATGCGTCCGTCCACCACGCCCATTTCGGCACACCCCTCACACGGTTCGCGGCCCCACAGGGAGCTCCACCGAGGGCCCCAGCTCCACCGCCCGCATGCGTCACCCACACCTATTTCGGCACACCCCTCACACGCTTCGTGGCCCCATAGGGAGCTCCACCGAAGGCCCCAGTGCCACCGCCCGCATCCCCCACACCCATCTCGGCACACACCTCACACGTTTCGAGGCCCCATCGAGAGCTCCACCGAAGACCCCAGTGCCACCACCGCCCGCATGCGTCCCCTACACCCATCTCGGCACACCGCTCATACGCTTCGAGGCCCCATAGGGAGCTCAACCGAGGGCCCCAGTGCCACCGCCCGCATGCGCCCCCCACACCCATTTCTGCACACCACTCACACGTTTCGAAGCCCCATAAGGAGCTCCACCGAAGGCCCCAAAGCCACCGCCCGCATGCGTCCCCAACACCTATTTAGGCACACCCTTCACACGGCTCGTGGCCCCATAGGAAGCTCCAACGAAGGCCCCAGTGCCACCGCCCGCATGCGTCACCACGCCCATTCCGGCACACCCCTCACGCGTTCCGTGGCCCCACAGGGAGCTCCACCGAAGGCCCCAAAGCCACCGCCCGCATGCGTCACCCACACCCATTTCGGCACAACCCTCACGCGTTCCGTGGCCCCATAGAGAGCTCCACCGAAGGCCACAGTGCCACCGCCCGCATGCGTCCCCTGCACCCATTTCGGCACACCCCTCACACGTTGCGCGGCCCCATAGGGGGCTCCAGCGAAGGCCCCAGTGCCACCGCCCGCATGCGTCCGCCGCACCCATTTCGGCATGCCCCTCATAGGGTTCGCGGCCCCATAGGGAGCGCCACCGAAGAAGATATTCACAATTGCGGTACTTACAACTGCATATGGTTGTGTCCTTCCCCAGGGTAATTCGATGCTCCCCGACCCCCCCCCCCACTGGAAATCGAGTGTAAGTCTGGGCCTTCGGGTCAAGTTGGGGTGGCTTGGTGGGTGGTGAGGATGCTCGTCGATGGTCCTCGCCGAGAAAAAATGCACGCGCCCGAGCGATGCCGAGTTCAGTGCCTTCGGACCGTGAAGCCTCGGGCCCGGTCTTCGCATCGCATGCGCCCGCCGCCGTGCGGCTGGCCAGGGGGGCAGACCGAGGAGCAGCGCTGCAGCGGACACGGAGGCGCAGCAGACTCGGCAGGGCGACGTCCAAATCTGCCGCTGCGCTGTGGAGCGAGTCTTCCAGGCCTCGGAAAACGAAGCGAACACTGGGGCCACATGCATCTGTCAGCGCCTCCCCCATCCCCCCAATGTTCAAAGTTGGCGGTGGGTCTGATGAGTTGCACCTCGACCGCAGTCTCCCCCCGCGCGTGCCAACTTTAGGTTTGGGGGGAGTGTTCAGTAATTGCTTCCCTCTACCGTCGCCTGTGTCCGCTACTGATTTCGTTACGTTCGTTCCTCGCGAGGCTTTTGCAGAACCACTGGCGCCTCGAGACCAGCAGAGCTGCGTCTGGCTTGTGCCTCCAAGTCCCACATCCCGAGGCTGCCCACGCGACAAACTGCGCCAGCAGAACCAATTCCTGGTGGGGTCGGGACCCCCTTCCACCCAGCCACCATGCTCCCGATTCACCCAACAGAGACAAAGCACATCGCGCCACGAACGAGCAGCAGGGCCACGTGGCAGGTCCAGTCGTGGCACTGCAACGAGCGAGGCGATGGACAAGCTGTCGGTTAACAGGCATGTAGGATGATGCGTGGGCCTAACACCAGGACAAAAAAACAGTTCGCTGGCAGGCGTAGCCTGCGTTTGAGTGGCTGGCCCCCTGCATCCATCTCAGTGTCGCCCATGATCCCCAAGTCGACCCCCGATGATTTACGAAAGCCTTGCCAGACTTGTCGCACGCACGCTTCTACACCCAGCGGGGTAAAGAAAAAACAATAATAAACTCGAATTCACCCCCAAGCATCCAGCGGTACTTGCTTGCAGACCTTATCAGCCTCGGTGGGGGGTAGCACCACGACCCCAGAGATGTCTCCGCTGGTCTTGGGGTGCCGAAAGTGCGATTGGACCCTAATAACGAGCGCCCGGTTCTGGCTGAGGCCTGTCAACTACTCACCCTGCAAGATGTATAGAAGCATTGCGTGTGAGAGGAACCCCGCAATTCGTCCCAAACTCAGCAGCCAATCTGCGATTGCAGTGTCAACCAGCAAGGGCAACTAAGGCTACTGAGAACTCAGGGTACGGTCGGACCCAGGACAGAAGCACATCCTTCAAGAGGAAGAGACCCTCCACGGGCCAACACACCCCAAACCATAAAATCGCCGAGGGTACCCTTCCACAAACATATACGTCAGACACGAAGAGCAGCGAGGGTACCCTCCCCGAGCCGACCTCGATCCTGTACTTAGGTCCAGCCGTACTGAGAACTCGGGGTGCCGTGGGCTTTGGGCGGCAATCGTTGGAAAGCGTTCTTGCCGACCGTCACAGGCCGCAGATGAGCGCGGAGACGAGCGGGCTCTTCATGCCGAGCAAGGCGCCCAAGAGCACGATCAAGGCGACTGTCATGAGCATCCATGTGTCTTTGAGCCGCCCGAACTCCCGAACGTCCCCCGAGCCGAGGACCCCCGACGCCCTGCCCATGCCGCACTGCTGCGGCGGCATTGTTGCGAAGCCCAGTGCGAAGAGGCACGTGGCGACGATGAGGCACACGAGGGCAGCATCGTACGCCCAGACCAGCATCCCTGCGGCGCTCTCCTCGAAAGGTCGCCGCGGTGGCTCCCCGATCAAGGCCGTGAGGCCCTGGACGACTTCCTTGAGCTGCGTGCCCGCGCCCGTCAGCGTCGTGCGGATGCATCTGGCGAGGCACGCGAAGCCGGAGAGGAACGAGCTGACCGCCCACGGGGCGCCCGCGGCGCCGGTCCGGACCGACGCGCCGCCCGGCAGGGCCTCGAGCTGCATGGCCGCGGACGTCGCCGCTGCCACGACCGTCCTCGTCTCGCAGCCGTGGGGTGCCTGAGGGCGGTGCGGCTGCCTCCAGCGGCCTTTGGACCCACAGGCCACGCGCCAGCACTGCGGCACGCCCTGCGGCGGCTCTGGCCCAGAGCTGCCCGAAGGGCTGTCCTGAGCCAGCGTCCAGCGGGAGCGGCCAGAGATGGCGAGCGTCCATCGGGCGGGCGCCCATCGGGCGCGACGACGCCATGATCCTGTAACATCTGGATGTGACGGATGGTCAGCGTCCATCGGGAGTTATGTAAGACGCGCAACTGGGCCTAGAGAGATGTCCTTGTCGTATGTGTGTCGGGTACAAGTATCCTGTATCCCATCTGCGGTTGGGAGCTCCATTGAACCGCTTGGGCCGGCATGGCTAGCGACAACCAACCCCCCACACATACCACGAACAGATGCGGCGTACGCCTGTTCAGTGCTAGTGGTGGTACGCATGGTGGGTATTGGAAGCAGCAGCGGCAGTGGTAGTCACAATGCAATGCTAAACATCGTGGCAGTAGTGATAGTAGCAGTAGTGCGAGTGGCAATGTAAAGGTATGGGACATAGGGTATAGTGAGACTGGCGACAGTCTATTGGCCCAGTGCAGTGGTAGTGGTACGTGCGCGAGTTCGAGCGGGAATAGCAAAGGTCCGAGCAGAATGAAAGATGACCAGCTTGAGCGAACCACCGTGTTAGCGTCCTCTCCAATCCGCCCTATGACACTGGACATCGGTGGCGGCAAGGTCGTCCCAGGTGCCCCATCATTTCTGAGCCCCAGCAGTCTATGCACGCCAGGTCACCGACGATCGTATCCTTTCACTCTTCGTCCAGACTTCCTGGGAAGGGAATTGCCCTGCCAGGACCCACCATCGAGAGGGCAAAACGGATCGGGGCCTCCATTTCCTTTTCGAAGGTCGACTACGCCAGTGAAACAAACGCGCTGCGGGTTATGTTGGTGTGTTCCAATTCGGCTCTGAAGACGCCCCCCCGAACAGGCGACAGCTTCGAGGACCCACCCAACCCTCTTCCTCGAGAGGCATCCAAAAAGGAAAAAGAAATCTCTCCAAGAGGCTTTGAAATGCAGTCGGGCCGCTGAAAGAAGGAACGCTAAATAAGAAACGAAGTCCCTTCTTGGCCATGTAAACGCCTCCGTGCCCCAGGAGGGCAAGAGGAACAGCACTGGAGGAACCTAAGGAACATCGAGCCCCTTCCGAACCCAAACTGTTCCTTCTTTCAGGGTCTCGACTCTAAGCCCCCAGGTTGGGCCAAACGGGGCCCCAGACAACGCCCGAAGAGCCCGAGAGGGCGCCCTGCAGGAAGCCCCCGGACGACTCCTCGGAAGGGCCCCCCCCCCCCCCAGAGGCTCCCGAAGCGCCGCCAGCAGGCCGTCAGGAGAGCGCACAGAGCCCCGGGGCGCCATGGGGAGGACGCCCGTGGCTGCCCCCCCCCCCCCTCGGCGGCCGAGGCGGCCCCGAGAGGCCTCCCCACACCGCGTCCATGCCGACGCACCCTCTTTGAAGGGGCCCCAGGACACACGAATAAATACACACAAATAAAAAGATTCCCCATGTTTTTCCATATGTTCTGGGTCTTTGTCTTCCCCCCCACTTCCCATATTTTCCTATATTTCCCTTGGAATCGACGATTAATTGTGTCTGTGTTTTTTCTCCCCTCCTGACTCTTTCCAGGCGGAACCTCCACGGCGCTTTTCGTTGTCGTTTTGTTCTCGCTGTCCCTCGCTTCTGCAAAAACACCGTTCAGGTCCAGCCCTGCCCTTTCTCCCCTCTCCCTTGTCGCAGCCGGCTGCGCGCAGGCGCGCGCGGGCGCGCCGGGCCCCGCCGGGCCAGGACGGGGGCGCCGGCCGCCTCGAGGGCCTATGGGCCCCCCCGTTCCTGCACCCTCCCGCGCCCAGGCTTAGGGGGAAAACAAACCTACCTCGCTTTTGACCACCCTCGCTTCCAAGAGATACCAAACGACGCCAAATTGCAGCCTGTACTGGTCAGGCCGCTTGACGAGGAGGCGCGTGGTATGGCTTGGTTTTGCCTGGAAGCGAAAGCGGGGTAGGTACTTCACGCTCTGAAGGCTGCTCTGCACGCATCCTGGTCGCGCAGGTCCGCGCGGCCCCGACCAGGGCAGGGGGCGAGCGGAGGAAGGCCCAGCCGACGGCGACGACGACGGAGGGAGCCCCAAGCTGAGGCAGCAGAAGGGCACGCTCGCACAGGCGCGCGCCCTGCCGATCTCGGCGCGCCCTCAGCGGCGTCGCGCCGCGGGGAGCCCCGGCGACGGCCCCACTGTCGCAGGCGCACGCCCCGCAAAAAAAAAAAACCCTCTCGCGCGATGTTTGCCTCACAGAGAGGGGGACCCGGCCGCAGCCACGGCGGGAAGCCTCGCGCGCGATTCCCCCCGAAGAGCCCCAGCGGCAGCCCCAGCCGCGGTGCCCGCACACGCGCGCACACCGCCGCCCCACCCGCAGCCCTGGCTGCGCCCCCAGTGCAGGAGGGTGCCAGCCATGCTCCTGCGCCGTCCCTCGGCTCAGACTCGGCCTGGCCGGGCCCGGTGCAAGCATATGATGGCGGGTGCCCTCCGACAGTGGGCGCGCTCGCTTGCGCGCGCGCCTCGCCAGTCTCGGCACGCTCCGCAACGAGCCCCAGCCGCGGTCCCAGCGGGGTGCGCTCTCGCGGCGGATCACCCGCGCGCGCTTTCCGGCAGGCCCGCCACACGGCTTTTGCGCCCCCTGGGGGGCCCAAAACTACGACCGTCCCGACCGCATCCGCTCCCCCCACCCACCGTCGGGGCCCCAGAATCGTGCGGTGACAGACCGCGTGGTGACCTCAGAATCATCAGCGACCTCACCGTGCGGTCCATCACCGCACAATACTGAGACCTCGGAAGCCCCGGTCGCCGGCGACGTCCTCGGAGAAGGACCCGAGTCCCAAAACCGTGCGGTGACCCGGAAACCAACGCTGACTCAGAACGCGGCGTGGCCACCACACCGCTCGAAGGATCCCCGTCCCACACTCCGACACGTGGCGGGGTCCTGACACCCTATACAGTCGGGGCGTTGACCTAAGGAACCCTGAATAAGGAACGAGGCCCCTTTTTCCATAAGTTAAACTTCGATTTCCGATCGAAAACATAAGGAAAACCTGAGGCAAGCTGTGAAACACTTGAACGCGGAGCCCCTCCCCAACCAAAAGGGTTCCTTCTTCAGGGCCCCGACTGTAGACCCCGAACCGCTGTCCTCTCTCGGGGGCGCATCTTGTACTTCTGCGGGCCTTCCGCCGAGGCAGAGGTGCCAACTCCTGCGGCCCCTCGCGGGCGAGGCCCCTCCTGGAGAGCGTCCCGGGCGCGGGCGGCGCCCCCGGCAATCTCCGCGCTGACCCCCCCAAAAAGACCAGGCATCAAGACTCTTTGACAAGTTTCAGCCTCGCCAAGTGTTACCAGCAACCCCACAACCACCACCACCAGCACCACCACCACCAGCGCCACCACCCCTACAATGATCCGATCTACTACCACAACCACCCTGTCAGGGTTTGGATGTGATGGTGGCAGTGGTGGTCATACGTATGCTGCTCCTTCGTTTTCTTCCCACACATGTCAAAGACCACGCTGCGACAGTGCCCACTACGACCATCACTGTCTCCATTACTGCTGTAATTTTACCACCGAGATCACTCCTGCCCACGATTACTGTCATCAGCGCGACTTCTACGACAACTAGGGGGGCCATGTTTTGAGGGAGTTTCTGTGGAACTCACGTCATCCTCACCCCCGGCGCGAAGAGCACGAGTCCAGAGCGGCCTCCGGCACCGTTTCCGGACAAATCCGGTGGATCCGCTGGATCCGCTGGATCCGGTGACGAATCCCAAACCGGCGCCCTCGCTTGAGACATCCTCACAAAACCGGCCCCGGGGGAGGTGCCCAGAGGAGCCCAGAGCGGCCTCCAGCACCGTTTCCGGACAGATCCGCTGGATCCGGTGGATCCGCCGACGAATCCCAAACCGGCGCCCTCGCTTGAGACATCCTCACAAAACCGGCCCCGGGGGAGGTGCCCAGAGGAGCCCAGAGCGGCCTCCGGCACCGTTTCCGGACAGATCCGGTGGATCCGGTGGATCCGCCGACGAATCCCAAACCGGCGCCCTCGCTTGAGACATCCTCACAAAACCGGCCCCGGGGGAGGTGCCCAGAGGAGCCCAGAGCGGCCTCCGGCACCGTTTCCGGACAGATCCGCTGGATCCGCTGGATCCGCTGGATCCGGTGACGAATCCCAAACCGGCGCCCTCGCTTGAGACATCCTCACAAAACCGGCCCCGGGGGAGGTGCCCAGAGGAGCCCAGAGCGGCCTCCGGCACCGTTTCCGGACAGATCCGCTGGATGGATCCGCCGACGAATCCCAAACCGGCGCCCTCGCTTGAGACATCCTCACAAAACCGGCCCCGGGGGAGGTGCCCAGAGGAGCCCAGAGCGGCCTCCGGCACCGTTTCCGGACAGATCCGGTGGATCCGGTGGATCTGGATCCGACGAATCCCAAACCGGCGCCCTCGCTTGAGACATCCTCACAAAACCGGCCCCGGGGGAGGTGCCCAGAGGAGCCCAGAGCGGCCTCCGGCACCGTTTCCGGACAGATCCGGTGGATCCGCTGGATCCGGTGACGAATCCCAAACCGGCGCCCTCGCTTGAGACATCCTCACAAAACCGGCCCCAGGGGAGGTGCCCAGAGGAGCCCAGAGCGGCCTCCGGCACCGTTTCCGGACAGATCCGGTGGATCCGCTGGATCCCGGTGGATCCGACGAATCCCAAACCGGCGCCCTCGCTTGAGACATCCTCACAAAACCGGCCCCGGGGGAGGTGCCCAGAGGAGCCCAGAGCGGCCTCCGGCACCGTTTCCGGACAGATCCGGTGGATCCGCTGGATCCGTTGACGAATCCCAAACCGGCGCCCTCGCTTGAGACATCCTCACAAAACCGGCCCCGGGGGAGGTGCCCAGAGGAGCCCAGAGCGGCCTCCGGCACCGTTTCCGGACAGGATCCGCTGGATCCGCTGGATCCGGTGACGAATCCCAAACCGGCGCCCTCGCTTGAGACATCCTCACAAAACCGGCCCCGGGGGAGGTGCCCAGAGGAGCCCAGAGCGGCCTCCGGCACCGTTTCCGGACAGATCCGGTGGATCCGCTGGATCCGGTGACGAATCCCAAACCGGCGCCCTCGCTTGAGACATCCTCACAAAACCGGCCCCGGGGGAGGTGCCCAGA